GGGGCAGAATCAAGAAGGTCATCTATTTCATCTCCAAGGACCATATCACCATCATCTAAAAAAGCTTCTGGCATAGTGAAGGGCATCTTCCCTCCATTCGCCAACACCGCAGACGGCAGAGCACTCTCTTCCGCTTGCAGCGGCAAAATAGAAGTTAAGGGCATGATAGAAACTGAGGCCAGCTCACTTCCAATCTCATGAGTAAAACTGGATGCAGGTAAAGAGACAACAGAAACTGCTTCTTGCCTCGGAGTTAATAAATCTGTAACATGGATGGAAATGTACCCGCTCACTTTTATTGTACTTACATAATACTAACATTAATAGCCAATAATAGAGAAAATGAAGATCTAGGTGTAAATATGAATGCAATTATAAAAATAAATAAGTAGATACCAGAGTAAAGCAATTACAAACAAAAGTAGAAGCAATTCTAAAAATAATTCATTTTACCAAGGAATAGATATATTTGCTTGTGAAAACTTATCCTTCTTTCACAAAATGCCTGCACCCCTTTTGGGCACAGCAATCAGGCCACGGTGGGTTGTCAATGATTGCTTACTGACATCTAATATTATCACTCACTCACTGGCATATCCAAAAGCACAAAAATGGTTTTAAAAATCATTCTCACTTTAATATTAATATAACCATGCAATGATCTTGTTTGACAACACTATATCACATATAAAGTCTAAAGCTGGCACTTCTCAGATTGTTAAAATGCTATGGGAAAACATACCTGGCTCAATATCTTCCACAGAATAGTTCAAAGCCTAGAAATTAAACCAAACAGTGGGTCATAATATTTTCAGGATTCTAAACCATGAAGCAATCTGTAAAACTCACCCTAAGAGAGCAACGCAGGTTTTCAGAGAAATTCGACTCCCTTCCAAAGAAGATTCAAGAAATGAATGGAATACACAAACCTTTATGATACAAGGTGTCAGATGCAGTGCTAGTCTAGTAGTGCTACCACAAATATTTGGCCCTAAACCACTCTTTTTCAAATGGAACCTATCACCTGTTAACATCCTACAAAATGCTCTACCAGACTTCAGGAACAGCTAGTTAAGACTAAAATATATTACTTGAATAGTTGGTTTTCTTTTTTAAAGTGACAGGAAGCTATGGCCAATTATGTATTTTAGGAATAAAAAAGTTTCAAAAATAGACATACACCAAAAACATTAAAGGCAGAATTGCTAATACTTCCATCCTTTCTTTTAATTATGATGTTTATGGGCCAGGCGCGGTGGCTCATGCCTGTAATCCTGTAACTCTGGGAGGCCAAGGCAGGAGGATCGCTTGAGCTCAATAGTTCGAGACCAGCCTGAGCAAGAGTGAGACCCCTGTCTCTACAAAAAATTAGAAAAAATTAGCTGGGCATGGTG